AGTGAGCTTCCAAAAGGCCTCGTGCTAGGTAAAGATAGGAATATACATACAAGGATCACTCCCCTGGGCGATGTGGGATGTCACAATCCACCCCCTTTAGGGGCCCGACGTCCTCGTCGGTACACACGCGACCAGGGTTAGGCTCTGATACCAAATTGTCACATCCCCGCTCGGGCGGGACCACTACCGGGGCCTGACTCCACCATAGCACGAAATTGTCCACTTTGGGCCCCGACTACGCCCTCACAGTTTTGTTTCTGGGAACTCACACGAGAACTTCCCAGTGGGTCACCCATCCTGGAAGTGCTCTCGCACGCTACTCGCTTAACTTCGGAGTTCCCATGGAACCTGAAGCCAGTAAGCTCCCAAAAGGCCTCGTGCTAGGTAGAGATGTGAATATACATATAAGGATTGTCACATCCCCACCCGGGGGGACCACTTCCCGAGCCCGCTCCACCACCGTAGCACGATATTATACGCTTTGGACCCCGATCACGCCCTCACGATTTTGTTTTTGGGAACTCACATGAGAACTTCCCGATGGGTCACCCATCTTGAGAATGCTCTTGCGCGCTACTCGCTTAACTTCGGAGTTCCTACGGAACCTGAAACCAGTGAGCTCCTAAAAGGCCTCGTGCTAGGTAGAGATGAAAATATACATATAAGGATCACTCCCCTGGGCGATGTGGGATGTCACAAGGATCACTCCCATGGGCGATGTGGGATGTCACAAGAGGGCTTGTTTTAGCCCTGTCACAAAAAACTGTCTCCAACCGAGGGCCAAATGGCCATAAGGCCAAATATAATTTATTATTTAAAAACTACAACTTAAATGTTGTTTAAGTTTCATGTTGTTAAATGTTTTTTTTTATGTTGGTTAATGTTATTAATATTGTTTAATGTTGTTTCATGTTACTTAATTTAATTTAATGTTGTATAATGGCTTAGGAGGTTATAGAAAAAAATAGAATTAAAAAAATATGAAGCAAATTTTGTGAAATAGAAGTTATAGGAAAAAATGAAATTTAAAAAAAAATATGAAACAAATTTGTACAATAAAAGTTATAGGAAAAAAATAGAATTTAAAAAAAATATATGAAAAATAGAAGTTATAGGAAAATTTTTGTAAATAAAAAATAATAATAAAACTGTTAAAAAAAATATTCAAAGAATTTCTGTCGGTTATAACCAACAGGAATACATTGTATTATTTAGTATAAATGTATTACTGTCGGTTATAACCGACAGTAATACATTTATTTATATTAGTAATACAATGTATTCCTATCGATTATAACCGACAGGAAATCCAACATAAGCAAAAAAAAAAAAAAAATGGCCAACCCTCTAGCCTTCTCCGATTATGTGGGGTCCTTTCAGATTCCAGAGACCTCTGGCCTAGCCCTCGGTTGGAGACGGTTTTCGGGCTATTTTCGGCCCTCTAGCCCTCTAGACCCTTCAGTTAGAGATGGCCTTAGAGGGCCAGAGAACTAAAACGAGCCATCTGGCCAGCCATCGGTTGGAGATGGCCTAACTATCAATGTTCTTTGATTGAAAGCTTGGTGGTTTTAGTTTTTGATCGAAGTATCTAATATTAATGTAATAATGTATTTCTATGTAGGTTATTATATTTTTAAATTAAAAATGAAATTTGTAGTTATTTATACTAGCATATGGGCACACACAAAGTATGTGAGAAAAATTTTTATTTTTGTTTTTGAAATAGAAGGAGAGAGAAAGAGAGTGATAGAGAATGTGGGAGTGAGAAGTTTTTTTTTTTAATTTTTTTTTAATTTTTAATTTTAATTAGAAATATGTTAAGATTACATGCAAATGAAGCTTTGAAAAAAAAAACAACAAAATTTGGTTGTGTGAAATTACATTTCTACCCTATATTTCTTATTCATGTTCTGTTTTAATTAGAAAGTTAAACTAGTAATTTCATAGGATTTTGGTTGACAATAAGTATTTTATTAATTAGTAGAGAGTAATGAGATTTTAAATAAAACCCATATTTTATGGGATTAAAAATATTAAAGATGAATTATACTCTCCAATATATTTTTTGTATATATACATGGGTACGTTCATCAAATTTAACCAAACAATTATTGTACCAAAGCATGGGTACATTTCTCAAAAGTACAAAAAAAAAAAAAAAAAAAAAAAAATATATATATATATATATATATATATATTAGCCTTAATAACATTATTAAATTTCTTCTATTAAACTTGACATGGATACATTCTGTTGACTCTAAAAATTCCAAAACCTACGTGGCGCGTAAGCCGAGTAACTAATAAGCTAACTACGTCCTTCGGTTGAATGCGGGGCGTGCCAACTCGTCGGCCGAGCTTGGCCGAGGAGTAAAATTCGTTGATGTCGAGTTGAGCGCGTCGTTGACTTCTCTATCTTGCGATTACGACCGAGGAAGGAACACTCTTGGTCTCTAAGTTCTATAGCCTGAAGACAAGGCTATTAATTCTGCAGAGTTCACAAGTCGTCGGAGCCCGATTCAGTCACTGTGATTATGTTCGTAAGAGTATAAGCACGTCGAATCGAGACCAAACTATATGGGCACGGGTACTCAAATGTGATGTATGTCTTGATGGTAAATGTAGTTCGGCCGTCGTAATGCCGAACCCTGAAACTTACTTGCGAGTATCCAATCATAAAATCACTCGGCGTCCAGTACGCCGAGTAACGCAATTCGTAACACCTAACTACGCCGAGAAGGCTAGCAAGGTGACCTCTACCAACAAGGGTTTGAAAACCCTTCTCGGCCGAGTCTTAGATAGGTAACCGGTCGACCTCGACGCAGTGCTGTTTATCCAAACTGAAGGTGCTTCTCGGTCGGCTGATTCTGCGGCAGCAGTGCTGTTTATCCAAACTGAAGGTGCTCGCTGGGTGCCTCCACAGTACTGTTTATCCAAACTGAAGGTGTATCGGCAGAAAAAGAAAAGGAAAAATCTCAAGGTATTTGAGAGGTTTTGCGCAGGGCAATTGTATGCTGAATTGAAGGGGGTCTTTTTTGTTGCATGATTTCTTGTATTTATAGCACCCCATTCCTTGAGACCGATTTGCATCCTTATCTGGATTGGGAGTCCTTGTCCCGTTTCAACTCTAACTCGAACAAACCTACTCCCACTGGGATTCTGAACTTTCCCCTTTTTCGAGGCTTTACTCTTTGCCGGCCGGGAATCCTGGTCGCACCAGGACTTCCTCGACCCTTTCTGTTTATCTGGACTACTTCTTAGGATAGGACTCGTCCGACCCTGTCAACTGGCCCGGGATTTATCACTCGGCCCATAGCATTTGACACAGCCTTGGGCCGAGCACAACCTGCTACTCGGCCCAACAATATTATTTTGGGCCCAAACACATTCTCAAATCAACGAAATAGAATGAACCCATATAAGTTTAAAAAATAGATCAGAAAAAAGATTGAATGAAATTTTATATAAAAATGTACATTTAAATTAAAAAAGGGTAAATTTTTAACAATTTGGTAAATTTAAGAATAGATACATATAAGATTAAAAAATTGAAATTTTTTTGTAAAAATTTAATGTGTACAATGTGACATCCCACATCGCCTAGGGGAGTGATCCTTAAATGTATATTCTAATCCCTACCTAGCACGAGGCCTTTTGGGAGCTCACTGGTTTCGAGTTCCGTAGGAACTCCGAAGTTAAGCGAGAAGGGGGCTAGAGCAATCCCATGATGGGTGACCCACTGGGAAGTTGTTCGTGAGTTCCCAAAAACAAAACTGTGAGGGAATGGTAAGCCCAAAGCGGACAATATCGTGCTACGGTGGTGGAGCGGGCCCGGGAAGTGATCCGTCCCAGGCGGGGATGTGACAAATTGGTATCAGAGCCAATCCCTGGTCGGAAATGTGCCGACGAGGACGTCGGGCCCCTAAGGGGGGTGGATAGTGACATCCCACATCGCACAGGGGAATGATCCTTAAATGTATATTTCAATCCCTACCTAGCACGAGGCCTTTTGGGAGCTCACTGGCTTCGAGTTCCGTAGGAACTCCGAAGTTAAGCGAGAAGGGGGCTAGAGCAATCCCATGATGGGTGACCCACTGGGAAGTTGTTCGTGAGTTCCCAAAAACAAAACCGTGAGGGAATGGTAAGCCCAAAGCTGACAATATCGTGCTACGGTGGTGGAGCCGGCCCGAGAAGTGATCCGTCCCGGGCCGGGATGTGACATACAAACTTATTCTAATTTTATTTTTTTTATTTGGGAAATGTTTGAATTGAAAATTCATTAGGAGTTCAATAAGTGTGTGAGTATTAAAACTCTAAATCAATTACTATTTTAAAAAAAAAAAATTATGTAACTTACATGTAATTCATTAATATATTAATGCTAGAGACTTTGATTAAAATCTAAAAATTGATAAGATTTTAGTCAATGAACATTAAAAACTAAGGACCAGAAACTAATTTTTCCTATAAAAAAATTACCTATATCAATAGCTACTTAATACTAGGCTCTAGTGTTATTGTCACTCCACTTTGATGAGATTCCGTTAATTTGTGTTGATATGGCTTAAAAATGCTTATGTGGCGTCCAAGTGGTAATAAGAGCATGGGTAATTTGGAAAAATTGTCAAGCATGTCTTCATTCTTAAATAAGGGCGCATAAGTACGCCAAAACCATTTCCAAATCCTAATATGTTACAACTGATCCTTAATTTTATTTCTTCGAAGTTGTAAAATTATGAAAATGCCCATATAAGGGATAAGTGGAGAAATTGTACGTGGACATTTAAGATCATTTCATAGTTTGTCTCACTTCTTGTCATATTTTTGTAGTACTCGTCGATACGAACAAATAGGCGCAAGTGAAACGAAATTCAGAGTTTAAACAAAATTTTTACGAAAACCGGACGTGAAGGGTATTATAGTAATTTTACCACTCTCTGAATATTTATTTTACTTATTAGTTCATTGTGCTGCGTGCCACTGAGACCCACCTCCTTGTCTTTTTTTTGCAGCTCTCGACTGACACTTTCTTCAGTCTTCTCCATCAGTTCACTCTCACACATTCTCTCCTTGACTCGCTCTCTTTCCTGTTAAAACGCAGACGACAATGATATCGTCATTCTCCGACGAATCAAACCCTCAAACCATCGTCACCTTCCTCACATCATTATATGCTTCACTTAGACCTCTGATTATTTAAGAACGAAGCAAAACCTCGAGTCTTTCGAGCTCCAACGTGGGCTCACGTTTTTGGCAAATTTCTCCCCGTTTCTGGCAGAGATCGAAGAGGAGTCGAGTTAGGTCAGATAGAGGTCACCAATCAACTCACCACCATCTGTAGAGTAAGATTCGAGCATTGTATGCTCAGATCTGCCTCAGAATCAAAGAGATCCCGTAACTTTGGTTTGAGCCGAAATCCTCCAACCGACTTTAGGCTATTTCCATCCACATTTTGACCTTAGGTTAGAATTCTGGCATAAAACTCAAATTTCGAAGAAACTCTGACAGACGGATGGTGGTCGACTTTGCTCCGGCGATCGGTGAGAGGAAGAAAATGATCGCATATTCTAAAATAGCAATGGAAAATTCTGTAACGATGTCAACATATTCTGTTAACTGGAAGGAGAGGCATATCCTGAGGAACTAGGGACCAGGTAAAGTAAGGCGGCTACGACCTTGTGACGTATCAATGACTCTGTTTTGTTTTCAAACTTATATCCACGATGGCTTTTTATGAATGTTTTACATCATGCCACATATTTACTTACAAATTTTACTTGTCAAGTTATGTGTTTTATGAAATTATGGCGGCATAACCGTCTTGCTCGCTTACATCGGTGTCTATAGAACTCGTCTAGGCCAAAGCTATTTTCATGTATATATTCACATCGCACCGTGAGTCTTATATTGGATACATTGTCGGTTTCATCTTGGACTAGTTGCACTTTGCTTCTAAGACTTGTATGTGACACACTTAGCGCCACCTTTACGTGTATGTAGTACTAGAGCATAGATTATTATACCCAGCCAGTTCATTTATCTACTTTCTGCACGGACTTGTGCATCTGCATATTTTTAATGAGCATATTATATGACATTGTTGAGATATTTGTGAATTAGTTGTATCTTTAGCATAACTGCTTTTGTACTATTATTGTGGTTTTCATAATAGTATGTAGTATGCTTTTGAAATTATATAAGTTTTACAATAAGGGGTTACTATGGTAAGAATAGAAAAAGTTTAAATAAATCCTTACTTTTGCTCACCCACACTTTCAATTTTGTCCCTCCAGGACTTAGTAGCTGCATTTTGTGGTGAGAGAGGGCATTAGCGAACTCTGACATCCATTTCCTGACAATGTAAAAAATTTATTTTTTGTTGGTTATGTAATATCCATCCTACTCAGGTTAGGAATACTTTTCATTTTGCTACACTTATATCTATGCTTTGACGTTGCATGCATTGTAATAAGGGTTCATCCCTCACTACTAGTTAATTTAGTTTAGACTTTGGCTTTAATTTAATTGTAATTATTTTTTTGTAACGAACGATATTATCTATACTATGGGGTGGGAAAGTGGACTAAACCTCACAATGGATCAGCAATAATGTGGTTCAAATTCGTCTTTGGCGAGAATCGAACCAAGACCTCCCACTTACAAATGAAGAAGAATACCACTAAACTTTAGTACTAAGTGGCTTCGTAGTTTTTACACAATAATAACGTATTGGCTTCGTCACCTTTTAGGTGTCAGCCAACACGCCTCGATTTCAATGTCCACTTAGATATCTGAGTCGGGGTGTGGCAAATGGAATTTGAAAAGTCCCAAAACCACTATTCACCACAAATAATACTATTCACCAATATATTTATGGACACGTGGCACAATCATATAAACATATTACAAATTGAATCCGGATTCTCGCCAGATCCTTTTTGTGAGGATTTCAGAAATCCGTGAATTATATCCATTCATCGTATATCGTGCAATCATAAATCATTTTAAATATTTTTATTTAAAATTAAATAAAAATAGTACTTGACAAAAACTGACTGCATGATGTACGATTACTAGCGGAGCTACACTCACGACTATAGTGGGTTGTAGCCTAGGGAGGATTTTTGCAAACTGCAGCTATAATGTTTGTATATGAGTTTGTCTTTGCATATTGTACATATAATAGCCCACCCAACTCATGCCAAATCTATTATTTAATATGTTCCTTAATTCATAAATAATACTTTTTACCTTATATATTATTTTATTATTTTTAGGCTAAAAGTAAGAATGGTAAATCTATACATAATTATAATAAGGTTTCTTCTACTTCCCCTCGCTTTTGCCCTATTCGTTCAAAACAAAAAAGCCTCTACCCTATACGCTTTGCTTTCCCATGAAAAGAAAAATTATGAATCATTATCAAATTATTTTTGCAATAAAATTCATCATTGGGTAAGTTCCTCATCTCCTCATATATCTTATTACTTGGTTCAATTGATAGGTTAATTATTTTTTTGATCCTTGAATTTGTCTATTAGGGGTAAAGATTTTGGGAATAGTTCATGTTTCATTGTTCTTGTTGTAACTAATAAAAAGAGCTCAACGCAAATATTGATTATGAAATTAACAAAAGATTTCACTTCCATTAAGGATCTAAGGGAACAACTTGAATTGGTATCCCCTAACCTATGTTTCTTTTGGGTACCTGTTGTCAACAAAAATGATAATATTTGTTCTCATTGCAATTTGTATGCATGTATTATTTGTATTAAAGCTAGCTGGAAAGTAATTAATAGTCTTGTTTAGATTAGTACTTCATGTTCTTACTTTTATGTAAATTATTATATAACTTTACCCAAGCAAAAGAAATATCATATGATTACATGCTAATAGTTTTCGCTAGCCCACCTATGAAAAATTTTCTAACTCTGTTATTGAGCTATGTTATTGTATATAATGAACGGACATGATTTACGAATCTCTAGATCCTTACCAAAAGAATCCAAAGAGGATCCTGTTGGTTACAAATTAATCTCATATATTAAATAATTAAATCTTACCTGAAAAAATAAAATAATTATTGTAAATAGGAACCGCCACGTCCATTACTATTCGTAATGAGTGATCAAGGGTTAGTCTTTGTTTAGTTCACTATTCATGTGAATAGTAATTACCCAACCCCTAAAGAAGTCAATCCTCTTAAGCTCCGTTTGGTATGTGGAAAAGCAGCTTGAAAATGGGAAAAAACGTTGCCTTTCCGATATTTGGTAAGTCCAAGCTTGAAAAATATTTACCTGAGTCCTGAAAAAATAGACGGGAAAGTGTAGCTTGTTATTTTTTTCTTTATTTAAAAGAGGGATAATTTGTGGTAAGTCACGGTTATATATCATTTTCAGGAACCGGAAAGACTTACGGAGACATTTTACTTTTCCTTTTTCAGTTGAAACAAAACCAAAAAATAATTAAAAGTCTGTTTGGTAATCTATTTGAGAATTGGACTAAAAAAAAAAATTAATTTTTCTTAAAAACTATGGTTTTAAATTTAGACTTTAGAATTAAAAAAAAACTTATTTAGGATGAAATTTTATTATATTCTTAAAAACAATTTTTTAGGGAAAGAAGGAATTTAGATAGAACCAAGCTTAACAGCCAACTCACATGATTCTAGGGATTTATGCATCACCACCGTCAAATAAGCATCAACTTTGATTGGATTGTTTGGTGGCCGATGACGGCGGGCTAGACACCACCGGCAAGTGATACTTCTTGGTCGACGAAAATCCCTCTTTCTGCGATCGGTGATTCTTCACTCTTATAACAAATTCATTTTAAGTGAGGATCGAATTAAAATTTTTCATTTAAAAATAAAAATAAATACTACTAAATCGTATTATTAAGTAAAAAAAATTAAGTATGTATATATATTTGCTTACCTAGTTTATCACACAGATGAAGGCCGTACTGCATTTGCTCGTGAAGGGCCCAACCGCAACACGTGGGGAAGTGCTGAAGCCTCAAAGTCCCGCGTGTGCTTCCTTTCCACCAGGAATGTCTCTGAAACAGGAAACCACCCTCCCAATTGTCGTCCTGTTGGGTTTTAAATTTGTAAATTCCCATTTTCTTCCAATTTCTTTTTATTAAACAATACAACAATTCTAACTATTTTATTCCCAAACATGTGATGTGATTTGATAGAGGCGTGAAAGAAGGTCGGGGAGATATATGATTATAATATATAGTGTGTGATGATGGCACGCTAGATTCCACGATCCCTTTACGTTTGCTTTTAACATTTTTCATGTGTTTTCGATATAAAAAATTGTGTTAGGTTAGTGACATTATTTAATGGGGACTTTATTTTATTAGTCGACACATTCAAGAACTTTGAGGATTCTGAGCTCGTCCAAATTTTATGAGACACGTATGTGGCATATTAATACAGGTGTTAGGTGTTGTGCGTCCGTTGATTACTTTATATCATACCAAATTTTATGAGTTTTTTCAGTCCCGGAAAAGTTGGATAACCGTTGCCATTAATTGTTTCTTTTAAGAAAAAAAAATATATATATATATATATGTTGACTGAAGAAACAAAAATAACAATCAATTAAAAAACCTAATTAAACCAGTTCAGGTCTAAGTTTTGTTTTACCAAGAACCGGTTTAAATCGAATCGAGCCAAGAATATAAATAATTAATTAAATTTAAGGTGATTTTGGATGCGGTCCTTATTTATCAACGTTCTTTGATTGAAACATTGTTGGTTTTCGGTTTTTTTATTGAAGTCCCTGAAATTAATGTAATAATGCATTTCTATATAGGTTATTATAATTTTTAAATTAAAATTTGATATTTTATTTATATTAGTGAGATTTTAAATAAAATCCATAATTTGTTGAAAATATTAAAAAAATTATATTTAAATAAAACCCATGACTTGTCATTACTTATATTAATGACATTTTACATATAAAAAATTGGTAATTTTTATACGATACATTTTACATACAAAAAGTTGGTAATTTTAATACGATACATTTTACATATAAAAAGTTGGTACATTTTGTACAAAAAAAAAAAGTGATACGTTTTATATAATGTGTACATTTCATATATATAAACAAAGGGTACATTTTACACAAAAGAGATGGTACTTACAAAAAAAATATGGGTACATTTTACATATAACAAAGTGGTACATTTTTAAAGATAAATGGGTATATTATTAATAAATTATGGGTACAAATAAAAGGTCAAAAAAATATGACTAAAAATAAAAGTTTGAAAAATATGGACACAAAAAGAAATTAATATATGGGTACAAACTAAAACTGAATAGAAAATTGAAACAATTTAAAAAAAAGAAATTTGCAAATTAAAATGGGTTCAAACTAAAAATAAAAATATATGATACAAAATTTAGCCATAAATATAAATATGTCAAATGTAACATTTCTAACACTAAATGAATAATTTAGAAATAAAATTTAATTATCTTGATATGTAAAATATTTTATTATTGAAAAAAATAATTGATATTTATTAAAACTAAGGGACCTTGATTAAAAATTAAAAAGGAATAAGGTTTCAATCAATAGAGGGATGAGAACCTAATTTCTTCTTAAATTTATTATTATTTTACACTTGTGTCACCCAAGATTCGTTAAAACCAGCCATATGTATGTGGTTTCACGGTACACTTAATGGAAATACACCAAATCCTTTCTTAATTAGGGCTTTACTCTCTCTCGAACTCCAAAGAAGATGTCAAATTGTGTAAATCAGCAATAACAGTAAAAAATGATAACTACAATGTTTTTCAACTACGAAGCCAAATATAATGTGCCATGACATAAAATAGCAGCTATCCTCTTTACTGTCAAATTTGACAGCAACGTCAAATATTTTTTAATTAATTTTTTTATCAGATCTGCAACTGTCCTCTCTCACTCGAACTTGATAGTTAAGGTTAAGTTACTGTGGTGCCGAGGCCGATGGAGCGCTTCGCAAAAGCAGAGGCCAAACGGCGGCACCGCTGGTCAGTCTGCTGCCATGTGCAGCGAATCGATCCATGGATCATGAATGTTCTAGTGGGGTGCAACAGAGCTGCTCTATCCAGAAACCACAGCGGCGTTAATGCCGTGTAGTTGGCATCGTTCTTCGGCAAATTGTCGATGTCTCGCCCTACCACCATCTCTGTTGCACCGGAAAGCCCATCCCTCTCTGTTTCTCTCTCTATTTCTCTCTGACTCAAAGACTCAGAAGTTCAAAATTATGACAAAGAAGTTGACAGCCTGGCATTGTTGGCCCTTACCACCAATGAAGTGACTTATATATCCTCCAGATTTTCCAACCACTATTTATCAAAAATTAGTGTAATAAAATAATATTTAATTTGACATACCTGGTGGAGAGCAAAATTTTGAAAGATGTCAAAATGCCACATAGATTGTCAAGTTCAAATTTTATGCTTAAAATTTGAGATTTTCTTTGGAGATGCTCTTACTCCTAAATCCT